TATTAAATTGAGTATTTAATCTGAAGTCCAAAAGAGTATTATACATACGAGGTAATATCAGGCATATGTTGAGCGCGAGGTATTGCCAAGGCAGCGAGGGAGCATGTAATGTAATCCACCAGTTTAATCTTCTTGCTAATGCTACAGGGAGATGCTGGCAACACTGTTTTAACATGTATACATATTCTCTGTTGTAAAGCGTGCATGTGTTATGGCTTAGTTTTTTTAATCCGTTTATGGCATGTGTTTCAGAGTTGCATTTCAACTTTGCCGACTGTTATAATCTTGTTGCGCTTAAAGCTAAATTAATTGCAGAATTTGTAATCGTTAAGATTCTAGCTATTTTCTCTTTTCTTTTTTTAGTTTTGAAACTTAGGTTCCCACTTTATTCTTATAAATAAAAAAGATTCGGTAATATTCCTTTCATGAACAAATAGTATTTGACTATAAAAACTAAAGAAAAAATATATGTTTTCAATTAGTGATACAATAGAAACTTGGGCAAAATTAAATCATAATAAACGTAATTATCGATTGTCAAAATTAATGTTATATTATTAACTAAAATTTACAGATTTTTAAGACAAAGCAGATGTGTCGATATTAGAGAGAATGGATCTCTCTCTCTCTCTCTCTCTCTCTCTCTCTCTCTCTCTCTCTCTCTCTCTCTCTCTCTCTCTCTCTCTCTCTCTCTCTCTCTCTCTCTCTCTCTCTCTCTCTCTCTCTCTCTCTCTCTCACACATATCATTAACCTCAGCCACTTTCACTCTCCCTCCTATTTTAATTTTCTGCTTCATCTCCTCGTGTCTTTCGCCCTCTCTACCTTTCGTCTGGTCAATCACAGTTCTCTTTGTCTTATTCTCTCGCCTCCTCACTTTCCCTACCTTCTCTTTTTTATTTCTCTCTTTCGTTATTGTATTTTCACATTTACATCTCTTCCACTTTCCTCTACACAACTCCCCCCTTGTCCCACTCTATTCTCTGTTTCTCTCCTTCTCCTCTGCCAAACCCCCTTCCCCTCTCCTATACTCTCTCCACTCCCCTCTCTTTCCTTTCTCCCCTCTTCCTTCCCTGTTCCCTCCCCCCCCCCCACATCACCCCCCCCCCCCCTCCCCCATCTTTGTGGAAGTCGCTATATTAATGACGCTCTGTTCTGTTACACCCATTTGTTGCTTCTCTTGTTCAATGTTTCTTTGTCATTCTCTATTTTCTTCTTCCTTTATACAATACTTTATATTTTTTGGCCAATTTTATTATTATTATTATTATTATTATTATTATTATTATTATTATTATTATTATTATTATTATTATTATTATTATTATTTGTATTATTTGTATTATTATTATTTAATTTGTATAACGATTATCATTATTATTATTTTTCATAATATCTGACTTATTTTTTCATCTAATCTGTATTTATTTATTAAATATTACCTTGCTTCAGTTGTCTGGTAATTTATTCTCTACATTTTGTTCAGTGTATTATCTCCTCTACTCTTATGTTCATTGTATTATCTCCTCTACTCTTATGTTCATTGTATTATCTCCTCTACTCTTATGTTCATTGTATTATCTCCTCTACTCTTATGTTCATTGTATTATCTCCTCTACTCTTATGTTCAGCGTATTATCTCCTCTACTCTTATGTTCATTGTATTATCTCCTCTTTTCTTGTGTTCAGCGTATTATCTCCTCTACTCTTATGTTCATTGTATTATCTCCTCTTTTCTTATGTTCAGTGTATTATCTCCTCTACTCTTATGTTCAGTGTATTATCTCCTCTACTCTTATGTTCGGTGTATTATCTCCTCTATTTCTGCTATCATGTGGGTGTCCCCATAATCCAGGTGTTCGCCTTGTAACATTATTGGGATATCTTGTCAGGATCCTTTACGAATTCCTCCATTCCTGTATTCACCATTCATTATTATTATTATTATTATACTCTACTACGTACTCTACTACGACTGTAGAGTACTCTACAGTCGTAGAGTACACTCTGCTTTACCTCCCCTTTTTTCTCTATATTCTCTCTTCACCAACTTTTTCTTTTATCTTTTCTGTCTCTGTAACTCCTATCTACCTCCTTTTCCACCTACGTCTTTCTTCCTTCATCTTCACCTACTAACACTCTTGTTTCACCCCCCCCCCTTCCATTTCTCCTCTCTTCTCTTTCGATCTCTTCTCTACTTCTCCATTTCCTCTCTCATATGTCTCCTCCCGTCACCTCTCTCCTCACCTTATTCCCCGCTCCTCTCCTCTTATCTGCCCTTTTTTCTTCGATTAATGGTTCATTCCCTCGTTTATTCAAATTATCCTTCGCCACTCTCCCTCGCTCCTTCCCCCTCTCACTAATTATTATACTTTCCTGCTCTCTCCCCATTCGCTTCACCTTCTTACTGTTTATTGTTTATTGTTTTTATCCTTAAGGTGTTTGCGTACATGTGTTGCGTACCTTATGGACAGAGCCATAGTACACCTAATTATCAAAGACCGTTTGGCCTAATAGCCACAACTGTGCAACAAGGCCTAGTTGGGAAGGATAAGGTCCAGAGTGTATATTATATATGGTTACATATGCAACAAAATATATAAATTAGGAAATTCGACTATTCTGCCTAAAGAATAGTGAGCAAGTTAAATTACCATGATTGAGACAACCTACAGTTTTGCCAGCATACACGGCCGGTCGGCCGAGCGAACAGCACGCTGGACTTGTGATCCTGTGGTCCTGGGTTCGATCCCAGGCGCCGGCGAGAAACAATGGGCAGAGTTTCTTTCACCCTATGCCCCTGTTACCTAGCAGTAAAATAGGTACCTGGGTGTTAGTCAGCTGTCACGGGCTGCTTCCTGGGGGTGGAGGCCTGGTCGAGGACCGGGCCGCGGGAACACTAAAAAGCCCCGAAATCATCTCAAGATAACCTCAAGAAGATATACACGAAGGGGTCCAAAATCCTTGCATTAAGCAATTAAAAACTTAAAATGCTGAGCCTATGGGCTTATTAGCGTGAGTACGTACACGTGGTTATCATTCCCGTGAAATGGTTTAAATAGAGGGAAAAGACAGTAATTAAATGCAGACGAGGAGTCGCAATAACGTGGCTGAAGTATGTTGACCAGACCACACACTAAAAGGTGAAGGGACGTCGACGTTTCGGTCCGTTCTGGACCATTCTTAAGTCGAAGTCGAAACGTCGTCGTCCCTTCACCTTCTAGTGTGTGGTCTGGTCAACACAGTAATTAAATAATTAAGAAACATGTAACGAGGATGAAGTTGCGCCACGAGTCATTAGTGTACAGATAGAGACGACCAATCCCACTCTCCACTCTTGAACTCATGAAGGTGAGTACACTTAGATGAGTACGCACTCACATATGTAAACTAGCAAAGATGCATGCAGATTTGGTCAATTGAAAGGTTATTACATTATGCAGTCGATGAGTCACAATAACGTGACTGAAGTATGTTGACCAGACTTCACACTAGAAGGTAAAGGGACGACGACGTTTCGGTCCGTCCTAGACCATTCTCAAGTCGATTGTCTTGACTTGAGAATGATAATCGACTTGAGAATGATCCAGGACGGACCGAAACGTCGTCGTCCCTTCACCTTCTAGTGTGAGGTCTGGTCAACTTATTACATTATTATATACATATACTATTACTATGCTCATCAGTTATTGTATAATCATTAATTGTATTATCATCAATTGTTGTATTATTATATATTACTTCTGTCATCAACTGATGTATATATTGCCATCAAATTATTTTGGTCTCTTCTTCATTCTCTTCCATAAATTTCTTTCCATAAATTGTATCCTTTTCACAATTTCTTCTGACAACTGGTTTTATTGATATATCAAGATGGTACAGATTTTATTACACACTGTGACATTTTTTGTCCCTGGGTAGTAAGTCTTATTTTCTTATAGCTTATGCCACCAAAATATAGAAAATGGGTGTTATTCCACCTCAATCTTTGACTTTTGCCTCAGCAGCTTTGTGAAGACGTCTTAAAGGTGTGTCTGAAGACTCCTGACTCCTCACCATGAGCTGTGACAGTGTCTGTAAGTCGGTAGCCTTCAGACACCTTCAAGACGTCTTCCTTTAGCTGGCTGAGGCAAAGGTCAAAGTCTGAGGGGGAATAACAACCATTTTCTATATTTTGGAAACATAAACAATCAGAAAATAAGACTTAACTATTTTTTTGTTAGTAAATTTTTTTATTGTCGTTCTCAGTTCTCTTGTCACTGTTAAACTCTTTCTATGTTTTGTTTTACGTTCTTATGCGCTCCTACTTCCTTCCCTATTTTGTTAGCTATTTATTTTATTTGTTTAATGTTACTTGTATTATGTTTTTTCACTAACATTCTTCCCTTCGTTGTTTTTTTTTTCTCTCACTATCCCTACCATTCTTTCTTATTTTATCTTTTATTCTCACCACATTACTCTTCCCTTTCAATTTCTCAAGGGAAGGAGGAGGTGAGCCTCCCCCTCACCCTGTTCTCTTCTCTCACTCCTACTGTTTCCTTTCCTTATTCTCTCCTCTCATTTAACTTATTTTCCCTTCTCAGTTTCCCTAACATTTCCTCACCTTTTTCTTCCGTCTAGTGTCTCCACTCTTCTCACTCTGGTCATTTTCTTTCCCTTCAGTTAACCTTACTCTGTTCTGTCCCTCCACCTACTCTCCCCTCACTTTTCAGCTCTCTCCCTCTCTTCATTTCCTTACTCTTTAATCGATATATTCTCTTCTTTTCTCTTCTTTTACTTTTATTCTTTCCTCTCGCATTCTTTCACTCTTCTGTCATCCTTCACTGTACTCACTCACAATCCTCACTATGCGCTCTCTTCCATTTGATTATCTTCTCTCCTCTGTTCACATTCCCAGTCATTCTCCTCTCTCTCACCTCTCCTCTCCTCTGCCCTCTTTTCTCTAATCTTTCCCTTCTCTCAAGTCTCCGTTCTGACTGCCTGTGCTCTCTCCCCCCAGCGTGAGAAGTCTTGGGGCGGGAGCGTCCGTGTCACCAACGTGAGCCTGGCGGCCGAGGGCCCCTTCCACTGTGAGGTGTCGGCGGACGGCCCCACCTTCCACACCGCCTCCGACTCTGCCAACATGAGGGTCGTGGGTGAGCACAGAGAGAGAAAGAGAGAGAGAGAGAGAGAGAGAGAGAGAGAGAGAGAGAGAGAGAGAGAGAGAGAGAGAGAGAGAGAGAGAGAGAGAGAGAGAGAGAGAGAGAGAGAGAGAGAGAGAGAGAGAGAGAGAGAGAGGATGTGTGTGTGTGTGTATTTACTATTTTATTTATTATTTGTGTCTGCTGAATCGAGCTATTAGCTCCTGAACTCCGCCTTTATAACGAATACAATTTTCCGGTAATATTTACTACATGTATTTCTATCTATAACACACATATACTCACACACAAACACCCACACACACACACACACTGTGTCAGTAGGCGTCCGCGATTAACATCAATTGTCTGGAGACATTGAAGTGTTACGGAGATAAGAAACATAGTTTTTTGTCACAGGAGTGTATTCAAACGCAGTGATCAAGTATATAGTGAGCTCCTACAGCGGTAGATCAATTCAGAAAAAATAATAAGGTTGAGTGGCAAGTTCAGTGCCGTATCGTGAGACAGTCGAATTGCCTTGCCGCGTATTGTGTGGTGAGGGGGATTTATAGCATACATAGTGATTGATCCCCTAAAGTATGTGCACCGTTTAGAAACGTATACTATGCTGCACATGCAGGCGAATGTGCGTGAATATCGTGCCTGAATATACCTGTGCGAATTTCAGGTATATTCTATTCGCGGGTATTTTCAGTGCCTGAAAATACCCGTATAAATGAATATCGACTTGAGAATGGTCCAGGACGGACCGAAACGTCGTCGTCCCTTCACCTTCTAGTGTGTGGTCTGGTCAACTATATTGCACATATTGGTTGACGATCAGTGAGGAAGACAGGAACGTCCAGGAACACGTGGAGACAGTCAGGAACACGTGGATAACAGTCAGGAACACGTGGAGACAGTCAGGAACACATGGATAACAGTCAGGAATACATGGATAACAGTCAGGAACACGTGGATAACAGTCAGGAACACGTGGAGACAGTCAGGAACACGTGGAGACAGTCAGGAACACGTGGAGACAGTCCGGAACACGTGGGGACAGTCAGGAACACGTGGGGACAGTCAGGAACACGTGGGGACAGTCAGGAACACGTGGAGACAGTCTGGAACACGTGGGGATTGTCAGGAACATAGGGAGACAGTCAGGAACACGTGAAGATAGTCAGAAACACGTGGAGACAGTCAGGAACACGTGGAGACAGTCAGGAACACGTGGAGACAGTCAAGAGCACGTGGAGACAGTCAGGAACACGTGGGGACAGTCAGGAACACGTGGGGACAGTCAGGAACAGGTGGAGACAGCCAGAAACACGTGGGGACAGTCAGGAACACGTGGAGACAGTCAGGAACACGTGGAGACAGCCAGAAACACGTGGGGACAGTCAGGAACACGTGGGGACAGTCAGGAACACGTGGGGACAGTCAGGAACACGTGGAGACAGTCAGGAACACGTGGGGACAGTCAGGAACATAGAGAGACAGTCAGGAACACGTGAAGATAGTCAGGAATACGTGGAGACAGTCAGGAACACGTGGGGACAGTCAGGAACATATGGAGACAGTCAGGAACACGTGGAGACAGTCAGGAACACGTGGAGACAGTCAGGAACACGTGGGGACAGTCAGGAACATATGGAGACAGTCAGGAACACGTGGAGACAGGCAGGAACACGTGGAGACAGTCAGGAACACGTGGGGACAGTCAGGAACATATGGAGACAGTCAGGAACACGTGGAGACAGTCAGGAACACGTGGGGACAGTCAGGAACACGTGGGGACAGTCAGGAACACGTGGGGACAGTCAGGAACATATGGAGACAGTCAGGAACACGTGGAGACAGTCAGGATCACGTGGAGACAGTCAGGAACACGTGGAGACAGTCGGGAACATAGGGAGACAGTCAGGAACACGTGGAGACAGTCAGGAACACGTGGGGACAGTCAGGAACACGTGGGGACAGCCAGGAACACGTGGAGACAGTCAGGAACACGTGGGGACAGTCAGGAACATAGGGAGACAGTCAGGAACACGTGAAGATAGTCAGGAATACGTGGAGACAGTCGGGAACACGTGGGGACAGTCAGGAACACGTGGGGACAGTCAGAAACATATGGAGACAGTCAGGAACACGTGGGGACAGTCAGGAACATATGGAGACAGTCAGGAACACGTGGAGACAGTCAGGAACACGTGGAAACCGTCAGGAACACGTGGGGACAGTCAGGAACATATGGAGACAGTCAGGAACACGTGGAGACAGTCAGGAACACGTGGAGACAGTCAGGAACATAGGGAGACAGTCAGGAACACGTGAAGATAGTCAGGAACACGTGGAGATTTCTCTCAATGTTTGCTGACGACACCAAAATTATGAGAAGGATTAAAACAGAAGAGGACTGCTTGAGGCTTCAAGAAGACCTAGACAAGCTGAAGGAATGGTCGAACAAATGGTTGTTAGAGTTTAACCCAAGCAAATGTAATGTAATGAAGATAGGCGTAGGGAGCAGGAGGCCAGATACTAGGTATCATCTGGGAGATGAAATTCTTCAAGAGTCAGAGAGAGAAAAAGACTTGGGGGTTGATATCACGCCAGACCTGTCTCCTGCAGCACATGTCAAGAGGATAACATCAGCGGCATATGCCAGGCTGGCCAACATACGAACGGCATTCAGAAACTTGTGTAAAGAATCATTCAGAACTTTGTATACCACATATGTCAGGCCAATCCTGGAGTATGCAGCCCCAGCATGGAGTCCATATCTAGTCAAGGATAAGACTAAACTGGAAAAGGTTCAAAGGTTTGCCACCAGACTAGTACCCGAGCTGAGAGGTATGAGCTACGAGGAGAGACTACGGGAATTAAACCTCACTTCGCTGGAAGACAGAAGAGTTAGGGGGGACATGATCACCTCATTCAAGATTCTGAAGGGAATTGATAGGGTAGATAAAGACAGGCTATTTAACACAAGGGGCACACGCACAAGGAGACACAGGTATAAACTGAGTGCCTAAATGAGCCACAGAGATATTAGAAAGAACTATTTTAGTGTCAGAGTAGTTGACAAATGGAATGCATTAGGAAGTGATGTGGTGGAGGCTGACTCCATATACAGTTTCAAGTGTAGATATGATAGAGCCCAATAGGCTCCGGAACCTGTACACCTGTTGATTGACGGTTGAGAAGTGGGACCAAAGAGCCAGAGTTCAACCCCCGCAAGCACAATTAGGTGAGTACACACACACACACACACACACACACACACACACACACACACACACACACGGATAAGGGACTACCTGGGAGAAGTGCAGTGGGAGGAAGAACTTAGAGGAAAAACAGTGCAAGGTATGATGAACCAAGTCATATTGAAATGCAAGGAGGCTGAAGAGAGATTTATTCCAACAATAAAGGAAAAAAAGCAGGAGGGAATATAATAACCCATGGTTTAATAGACAGTGTCAGGAAGCAAAGGTGAGAAGCAGGAGGGAGTGGAGGAAGTACAGAAGACAAAGGACAGAGGACAACAGGATTAGATGTAACAGAGCTAGGAATGATTACATTAACATAAGACGAGTGTCGGAAAGAAATTATGAGAATGATATTGCAGTCAAAGCGAAAAAGCAACCAAAATTACTACATAGCCATATAAGAAGGAAGATGTCGGTAAATGACCAAGTGACAAGACTGAGGAAAACAGAAGGGGCATATACAGAAAGCGACAAGGAAATCTGCGAGGTACTGAATGCAAAATTCCATGGAGTGTTCACAACCGAGCCTGAGCAGCTCCCATTGTTAGAAGAGATTACCCAAGATGAAAGACTATCAGATATAGAGGTGACAGCAGAGGATGTAATGAAACAGTTGACAACACTGGATGCAAATAAAGCTGTTGGACCAGACAAAGTATCACCGTGGATACTTAAAGAGGCAGCGCAGGCTCTCAGCGTGCCTCTGGCAATGATCTTTAATGAGTCACTTATGTCGGGAGAATTGCCCAGTTGCTGGAAGGAGGCAAATGTCGTACCGATTTTCAAAAAAGGTGATAGGGAGGAGGCACTTAACTACAGACCCGTATCACTGACAAGCATCCCCTGCAAAATACTTGAAAGAATAATTAGGCTAAAACTTGTTGAGCACCTGGAGAGCATTGGGTTTGTAAACAAGCACCAACATGGGTTCTGGACAGGGAAATCATGCCTAACAAACCTTTTAGAATTCTATGATAAAGTAACAAGGATAAGGCAGGACAGAGAAGGCTGGGCAGACTGCATATATCTTGACTGCCAAAAGGCCTTTGATACGGTACCGCAAATGAGACTGCTATACAAACTTGAGAGGCAGGCAGGAGTAAGCGGAAAGGCCCTAGTATGGGTGAAGAACTACCTAACAGGAAGGAGCCAGACGGTAATGGTAAGGGGCGAGAAGTCGGACTGGCGAACAGTAACAAGTGGAGTACCTCAAGGATCGGTGCTGGGACCAATCCTCTTTCTAATTTACGTAAATGATATGTTTACAGGAGTGGAATCATACATGTCAATGTTTGCGGATGACGCAAAATTAATGAGAAGAGTTGTGACAGACGAGGATTGTAGGATCCTCCAAGAGGACTTAAACAGGCTGCAGAGATGGTCAGGGAAATGGCTACTGGAGTTTAACACCAGTAAATGTAAAGTTATGGAAATGGGATCAGGTGACAGGAGACCAAAGGGACAGTACACAATGAAGGGGAACAGCCTACCTGTAACGATTCGAGAAAGAGACCTGGGAGTGGATGTGGCACCTAATCTAACTCCTGAGGCACATATAAATAGGATAACGACAGCAGCGTACTCTACACTGGCGAAAATTAGAACTTCATTCAGAAACCTAAATGAGGAGGCTTTTAGGGCGCTTTACACTGCCTACGTGAGACCCATCTTAGAGTATGCCTCGCCATCATGGAGCCCCCACCTGAAGAAACACATAAAGAAACTGGAGAAGGTTCA